TACTCGACTACATGTTGCGAAAGCGACTCAGGACCATATCTTTGCATTAGGCTGGGAACTTCTCCCGCACGCGGCGTATAGCCCAGACATGGCGCCTTCCGATTACTACCTATTTCGGTCGCTGCAGCATCATTTGGCTGATACACATTTCGTGAGATTTGAAAAGATACGAAAATGCATTGATGCTTTATCGCTTCGAAGCCAGTGAGCTTCTATCGTCAAGGAATTCGCAAGCTACCCGAAAGATGGCAAAAGGTCGTTGATGCAAACGGGGAATATTTCGCTGATTAATATTTTTTTGTTTGTTTTTGAATAAAGATTGAATTTTACAAAAAAAAGCTCAGAACTTTTTTGTACACCTAATAATAAAATGCTATAATATATTTTATATTTATATTCTGATATATAATACTTATTACATATATACATGCCCGTGCATATGTCAAAAAGGATATGCAAACCAACAGATTATTACTTGAACAGTGCTACTAATCCATAGAAATTAAAATTATTTCGTTTAAAGGATTTCGTTGATATCAACATTATCCCCTCCATTTTTCGAGAAATTGTCGTCTAACCAATTTTAGTTGCCGCTCATTTTTACAAATCTTGTAAATATGAAACAAGTCATATCTGCACGATTAGCACACAATAACGAAAATAGCCGTTATAAAAAATTTTGTTGTCCGCATGTCATTTGTATAAAGATAAACAAGGACAAGGATAAGATGAACAAGGATGTATGAGCTTTTATTTTAGCGATAGTGAAAAATACGTTACTATCGTCAACGCGGCGGTCTTCGCTGAATACTCAGGGGCTTAAATTCATTGAAACAAAATTTAATAAAAAATGTTTGTAATATGAACATTTGTGAGTTTAAATTTTATCAAGACAATCCTAAGCACAAATCGAGAATTGTACAAGAATATTATATAATTGACCTAAAGTGTTGCACCCTTCTCTTCAATCATCGGATTTAAATCTAATTGAAAATTGATGGATCAGTTGGACCGTAACATTCGAACAATACGTATAATTACAATAACGGAATTGAAAGAAATTGAAGTTATTAGAAGAATGGGGATGTATTACAAAAGAATATTTAAACAAAATTATATCTAATATGTCCCAACGTTTACAGGAAGTCGTAAAACAGCCTACAAAATATTAATATTCCAATATTGTTTATTAAAAAAATATACATATTTATGTGTATTTACTTACTGTCCGAATATTTTTGCGATATTAAATTTTGACATTATTTAATTTATCGCTTATTATATAAAAAACTTTGTGCGGTAAATAAATAAAGTTTATGTTTCTACTAACTACAAGAAGTGTTTTAATATATTTAATATATTAAGAAACAATCAATTCAATAACAATATTATAAACAAATATATAAAGCAACAATGCGATCACGAACACTGTGGTGTCCGAATATTAATGCAAATCACTGTATATATGTACACAATTCTCGAATCTTCACGACTTCAGAGAGAAGATGGTTTTATTCTCTCAATAGATGTGACTAAATCCCAGTTCTGCCTATATGTAGAGTTCACTAAGCGAAAGACAGAATATGTCTAATAACGTCGTTCTTTCCACAGATCTTGCATCAAAATGACATATTTCCCTTTTTCCATGCATTGTGAACCCTGCGTTTATCACATATAAAGTACTTCTGTAGAATCATCTTGTCCTCTCGAAGATCATGGATTAAAACCGGCCCTATATTGCTATTCAAGAGCAAATCAACAGAAAATTGGGAGTAAAGGTTACGAAATAAAATGCAGCATATATTTAAGAAAGGTAATTCACATACAACTGTTTATTGAGACATGTAGAATACATCTGGTCATACACAAAAATCTTTGACACTTTAAATCAAGCTCCTAGCCCGAAAAAAGGAACCATGTTATAACATTTGTCTTTAAAATCATCATCATTTAATCATTATGTTTAACTACGTTTCACACTAAAATTAAGGGGAGCTGGAGAAATAAAAATTCCAGGAAAAAGCAAAGCAATTGGTAGAGGAAGTGAATAATCAAAGAATCTGAGAAAACGCAAATATAATGAGCGACATGTGAAAAGTTTGGCGGGAAAAATTTTGCACATCTGTTTTATAGCCGCGGAGCTGACATGTAGCGCAAAAAAAGTATAAAATATATATATGTATTTTTTCTTTCAGGGATTTGGATGCAGTATTTTTATTGAATTCTTTCATTACGATTTCCTTCTTTCTCGTTAATTAATGCTAAATACATCACGTCAACAAAAATGACATATTCGGCAGGAATTACACACACACACACACACACACACGCGCGCGCGCGCGCACACACACATACAGAGTTTGATTCGAAATAATACAACAGCGATATACTGATAAACCGAGTCAAACTGAGTAAAAAAATCTTCAACCATTTTGCGATTTTCACAAATAGTAATGCATTAATAGTTAGTTATTGAAGATCGCTGAATGAATGTGTATCTGTTCAGCTCATTCAATATACAAACAAAATACAAACGTACAATGAAATACGACCACAGAATGTTATGTACGTTCGCAGTTGCTGGGAACACAGCGAGATGTGATATGATATATAAATGAAAGAATCATCTATTTATAATGCACACTTCCAACATGGCGCTGACTCCTAGCAATCGCGAATGCGCGTAACATTAGACGATCACATCTCATTGTGCGCTTGATATTTGTCAATAAGGTTGATTATATGCCTATTCAGCAATTTTTGACTAATAGTTCATTACTAATTGTGAAAATCGCAAAATGATAGATTGTTTTGCTCAGTTTAACCAGTTCTATCTGCATATGGCCATTGTCCAGTCGAATCAGATATTTTGGAGTGTAAATAATATATATGTACACACACACACACACACACACACACACACACACACACACACACACACACACACACACACACACACACATACATACATCATACACACGCGCGCGCGTATATGTGAGTGTGCACGTGTGTGCATATCCTCATGCACACACGCACGTACGCACGCATACGCACCGCCACGCACACACACCACACGCAGGATGCTGATTTGAAATAACACAACGTTTGTGTACAGATAAAGCATGTTAAACTAAGCAAAAAATCCTCTGCCATTTTATAATTTTCGCAATTAATAATGAGTTATTAATTATTAAAAATTGTCGAAACGCATATGCTCCAGATCTACTAGCAAATACCAAACGCACAAAGAGATATGATTTCCTAGCGTTACGCTCATTCACAATTGCTAAGAGCGCAATGAAATATTTGAAGATATACATTATAAGCAGATGTTCTATCATTTGTAGATCACATAATTGTATATCACTAAATATCTCACCGCATTCCTAACAACCACAAATGTGTAATAACATGTATCACATCTCACTGTGTGCTTGCATTTATGCAAGCATGCCGGGCAAATATGCGTTTTTTCAATTTTTAATAATTCATTACTAATTGCGAAAATTGCAAAATGATAGATTTTCTACTCAGTTTGACACATTCTACGTGTATACAAGCTTTGTGCATTTCAAATTAGACATTCTATATATACATATTATATATACACACACACGCGAGTGTGTACAGGATATCTGATAATAACTATATTATTTTTCGTGGGCAAATAAAGCAGGTTAAACTGAACAGTAAAATCTTGTGTCATTTTTTGAATTTCAAAATAATTGATGAGATACTGACTAATAAGTGCCTTCTATTTAATGACACAAGTTGACACAAATACCGTTTTGTTCTTGTTACTTATTGAATATCAAGAAAGATAGAATAATACTTATGTCGACTTGTGTCACTAAATGGAAGGCACTCCATGAAGTCCACAAATGAGAGCATGTTGCGTGGAGAGCTCAGCTTTACGTATGTTCATAGTTGCTATATGTATGGAAAAATATTTGCACTATAAACAGATGTTCTATCATTTATAAATTATACTTTTAAATATCTTATCGCTCACTTAACAACCATAAGTATAACATGGAACTATCTCTTCGCCCAAATGCATACTCATTCATGGATCTTCATAAATTAATAATAATTCATTATTTATTGCGAAAATAATAAAATAGTAGAAAATTCTTCCATTTAGTATAATTATATACTTGCTTACAAGATATTGTTATTATCGAATACTCCGCGCGCGCGCACGCGAGCATGTACGTATACATGCAAATGCACACGATGCATACATGCATACGCATACCATATGTACCCACGTGCGCGCACACATACACATACGTATACACATATACGCACGAGACACATGAATGTGTGTATGTGTGTGTATATAAACGGGAAATTTTTCTCTCATCTAATCGTTATTACTAGGTACAGTTAATTCATCTCTACCAATAAACAGTATTGATGATGGAAAAAAATTAAACTTAAGTAAAACATGAATAAAAATTAACAAAAATATTCGTAAAGTACGAGGTCGGGCGAACAATATGTCGTCATCCAGATTTTTTATCTGTTGATGCCTCTACCGTTTCATATTTTTCATATTATGTGTTGTGTGTATTAATTTGAGTCTATGATCCACGTTACAATATGATACATATGCGATCTTTTATATTTCTGATTGATCAATTTGTGGCATAATTATTCGGCGTAAAATCATACTCGATATCATATTACATATAAATATCATCCGTCAATCGTACTATTGTATCAAATCCAATCCAAATTTAATCATTATATATGTTATCTGGTACACACACATTCGTAAATACGTGTATTAGGTGTGTGTGTGCGTGTGTGTGTGTGTGTGCGTGTGTGTGTGCGCGCGCGCGCATGTGGTGTGTGTGTGTGTGTATGTGTGTGGGGGGGCACGTGTGCGTGCGCGCGCTCATATGCATGCACACTATTGTATCGTCTCATTTGGTATATTACAACAAATAAGAATCTGATATGCAGTTATTCCGTTACAATATCCTTTTTTTTTCTTTTTTGTCTTTACGTCATATTTATCTTCATATCTTGAGGTGCGTGTAAAATACAAATGATTTGCATGTTTTCTTCTTTTTCTTTTTTCAAATAATCATCCAGAACAGGGGGTGTCTGGGCTCCAGGGACAGGGACCAACTACAGCCCGCACTTACAACTCTTACTAATTAACTAACAGACTAACAATAACAACAAGTCAACACTCAAAATGTGTGCTGTATGTGTTCATGCATTTGTAAACATTACATTTTACATCCTACTACTCAATCTGTGACTATCATTATCAAATTCGTAATCAGTCATCTTTAAAAACTTTTCTTTCTTTTATATATAAAAGAATACAAGAAACAAATTTACTTTTTACATAAAATTTAGAAAAAACAATACACTCTCTTTTTATTTCCCTTTCAAAGGGAATAGATTCATTTTAGATATTTCCTTTCAACGATCAATTTTTTAATTTTTCAAATATAAAAAAAAAGAAACTCATTAACAAATAAATATATTATAATTTGAGTCCGAGTTTGCTTTTCTACGTGGATACTGTCATTGAAAAATTTACTGTACAAGTGGGTTTTTTCTCGATTGTGAGCAAAATATCCTTTTTTTTCATTTTCGTTTTTCTTATTCAATAGAATCCTCGCCTGAACCAAAACCTAATCTGGGAGACATTCGCAAAACCATTGGCTTGCAATATTTCACATTTGCCTTTTTCGCAAAACTTGTCTGACTCTTAATAATAATAGTTTCACTGACTGTACACATTTATAGACCAACAATAGAAGGTCTTGCAGCACGTATGACGTGCTCCACATTCAAATAGACACCTTTCGCTTAGAAATTATCTTTCTTTTTCTTCTCTTACAAACATGCATTCTAATATATTCGTTCTTCCTTTTCCTTCCTCCCTTCTCTCTCTTCCCTTTTCATTTCTTGCATACTTACTAAATATCACATTCTCGCCCTATGCCTTCTGCTTGTCTACAAGCTTATTACATTTTCTACTTTTTCAAGATTGGACTTCCATTTTCCATCTATTGTTCATTTGTAACTTTTTTATTTTTTTCTTACGCTATTTACTTCATCCTTTAACCTACCTAAGCACGCATACTTTGTCATATAGATTCAAAACATCTAATCATTGCATAATAAACCGCCGGCTTCCCTGAATTCTTTTAACTAATACAAGCCATCACAATCCCTATGTCAACATCGCTAATCTTCATCACTTGGCAGTAAACAATGTGACAATGCAGTAGTGGTACTTAGATTAATATTATCATAATAATAATAATAAGAATAGTACGGGGTGGGTGGGTGGTCACACTCCGACATAATAGTCTCAGTGGCACATCACTGTACATAATCACAACAACAGTGGGCAATGGTGGTAACGCAGAAGATAGTTGCTGCGTATCATTAAATATGAAAAAACATTTACAATCATTTGAATTCGATTAAGAGCGATAATAATACAAATGGATGATTCTTCTTTCATTTCGTTTTAAGTTTCCTTCTTTCTCCTATTTATCTCTATTCCCCCCCCCCTCCTCTCTCTATACATTCAACCAATCTGATTTTATCTTATCTCTTTCTCCTTGTCTTATATATTTTTATTTTTCATTCATCATATACTTATTCATGTGATTTTTTCATCACTCGTAGGGTTGTAGAAGTTAGCTCCATGATTGGTAGGAGTCTTGATACCATTCGTGATCATCACCGGAAACACCGCCAAGTGTGCTGGCTCTGCCTCCAAAACTTATGTCACCGCCACCACCACCACTGCCACCATTTACACTCGCCAATCCATATGCATTGCCCAATGGTTGTTGGGCAAGGGGCTGGTTTCCCCAATTGCTCTGGAAGCGACGCTTAGATTCCCCCTGGTTCTGGTGACCCCCATCAAATTTTCGTTTACCTGCTGTAAAAAATACACCAAGATAACAAAATTGATGAGCACATAAAAAAATCATAGAAACATCAAAATTGAATTAAACAGTACTCTTTTTGTATTTAATACTTGCAAAATATTATAAAAAAAAAGATAAAAATCTTAAAAGTTCTTGTTGTGTTATATATGTAATATGTTCATAAAAATTTATATATTAGATATAATGTTTATGTTTATATATATTATAATAATCGCATAGAATAGCAGACTCATGGAGATAAAAAATTAATTAGTATTTTCTACCCAAAAAAAATTGTAAAAATTATGGATCTTTGAATTAATATAATATAAATATAATGATAATCACTAACTTACTGTTTTATTACTATCAAGTAAATGGGACTGGGATATCTTAATGGAAAGGTGGAATTAGATGGTTTTACTGTAAGAGTGAACAATACATGATAATATATGGAAATACATGCAATCTGTACAAACTAATTATTATATGGATTTTGAGAACGTCAAAGTAATTAAAAATATCTATCATTAGCAAATCTATAAAAATTAAATAATCAAATAATTAAATATTTCTTCAAATAAGATACATAATAATTTTTTAAATGTAAATTTGAATAAGAAAACATTAAAAAGTGTCAATTATTTTTGGAGGAATTAATTTT